TTGTCTTTCCTCTCTCCCTCCCTCCATCTTCCTTTCTCCCTCCATCTTCCTTCTTTCCTTCCTCCCATCTTCCTTCTCCTCTTCCCCCTTCTCCTCCATCCCTTCCCCTCTTGCTCCTCATCTTCTCTTCCTCCATCCCTTCCTCTTCTCCTTTCTCCATCTCCTCCTCCTTCTCCATCTCTCCTCATTTCTTCTCCATCCCTTTCTCCCCTCTTCCTCCCTCTCCTTCTGAATCTATTCCTATTTTTCTTTCCCCTTCTTCTCCATCCCCCCTTCCTCCTCATCTTCTTCCTCCATCCCTTTCTCTTCTCCTATTCCTTCCCCTATCTTCTCCTCCATCCCTTCCTCCTCCATATCTTCTTTTCCTCCATCCCTTCCTCTTTTCCTATTCCTTCTCCTCCCTTCTCCTCCTCCTTCCCCATCCTCCTCTTCCTCCTCCTTTCTTCTCCATCCCTTCCTATTCTCTTCCTCCTTCTCCTTCTCCATCTATTTCTATTTTTCTTCTCTTTCTTCTCCATCCTTTCTCCATCTTTTCTCCATCCCTCTTCCTCCTTTCTTCTCCATCCCTTCCTCTTCTCTTCCTCCTTCTCCTTCTCCATCTATTCCTATTTTTCTTCTCCTTCTTCTCCATCCCATCTTCTTCTCCATCCCTCCTCCTCCTTTCTTCTCCATCCCTTCCTCTTCTCTTCCTCCTTCTCCTTCTCCTTCTCCATCTATTCCTATTTTCTCCTTCTTCTCCATCCCTTCTCCATCTCCATCTTCTTCTCCATCCCTTCTCTCCATCTCTCCTCCTCCCCTCCTCCTTCCCTTCTCCCCCATATCTTTTCTTCCTCCATCCCTTCCTCTTCTCCTTTTCCTTCTCCTCCATCTCCACCCTTTCTCCTTCCCCTCCTCTCTGTCTTCCTCTCTACCCAGCTGAGCTGCGGCTCCTTCCCAACCGTCGCTTTAAGAAGGACTCTGGCACCCTCAAACTCAAAAATTTGCTTCTTGTCTCCAGTGGCTCAAAAACCGCCCTCCAGAGAGAAGGTTCATCCTTCTCTTTCTCCCGGTGGACACTCTCCTGCTCACTCACTTCTCCAAAGCCCGGGCGATGTCCTGGAAGCCTTGGGCAGTGGTCCCATTCTTGTCCCAGGAAATGCTTCTAGAAAGGAGGAAATATAATCTGGTTTAGAGTGAGCTTTCTCCCCTTGGAGGCGTCCGTTGGGTCCCTCTCTCACAGCCAGCCTCCATCTTCGGAGCTTCTGCCGTCGGATGTGGTGTCCTCCAGGCCTCCTTACCTCAACGTGCTGTTGATCTGCAGAGCCTTGGACAACATCTTGGCCCCGAGGTCCTCCATGTTGTTCCCGCTGAGGTCGACTTTGGTCAGGCAAGTGTTGCTCCCCAGAGCGTTGATCAGGATGCTACAGCGGGTTTTCAGCCGGGAATCGGCCACCGAGAAGGACTGTAAGGACTTNGAAATGACCATCAGATCATTAGTATTTCTTATACAGTATTATATTAACACGCTCTGATGCTAAGGAGTTAAGACATTCTACTCCCCCTCCCCACCTGAAGAGAACTCTGTTCCAACTGTTCCAATACATTGTTGTTAATTGAATCACTGCGGTGGATAAATCAGTCACCTGGTTGTTAAGTGAATTTTATGACATTGCTTGCCACCGTTGTTCAGCGAATCACTGCTAAGAGGGACATGGTTGCTCAGGGAATCCGTCATAAATACAAATCCGTTGCCAAGCCTCCGAATTTGGATCACGGTTTACAACCGCCATGCTTGGCCTAAAATTTCTTTCGCTAAGCGCGACAGTGGTTGAGTGAATTTTGCCATGTTTGGCAACCTTTCTTGCTACAGTTGTTAAGAGAATCACTGCAGTTGTTAAGCGGGGAAGGTGGTCGTTAAGTGAATCGGGCTTCTCCGTTGCTCATCAGATGGTCCCCAAAGGGGAATCACAAGACTCCCAGAAACTGTCAACCGTCGTAAGTGTGAACAGTTACCAAGCATCCAAATTTGGATTGCATGAACCTGGGGAAGAGGCCACAGTCATAACTGTGAAAAATGGCCCTTTCTTCAGGGCTGTTGTAACTTTGAATGGTCACTAAGTGAACTGTCGTATGCCGAGGACTACCTGTAACACACCGTGAAGGGACCTCAGAGGTCTTCTAGTTTAACCCCCGGCTCAGGCAGGAGACCCTATACTGTTCCAGAGAAACGGCTGTCCGATTTCGTCTAAGAAATCTCCAGTGTTGGAGCCTCCACAACTTCTGGTGGCAAGCTGTTCCACTGGTTAATGAATTAATGAGTTAATTAATAATGCCAGATCGGTGAGCGGGGGGGCTCACCTTTTGCCAAACCTCGTCCGTCCGGTCGGGGGCATTGCGGTATGCCGTGGTAATGTCGCTCATGGGCAAAGCCATAAATTTGAGGGTGTAGTTGCTGAAAACGAAGACAATTTGAAAAATCTGTTTTTAATCATGTCCGACTGGCTAAGTCAACCTTGAGCCAGTCAGGATCGAACTGCTGGCAGTTGGCAGAATTCGCCTGCAATATTGTATTCAAACCACTGTGCCAGCACGGGCCTTCCTTCCTTCCTTCCTTCCTTCCTTCCTTCCTTCCTTCCTTCCTTCCTTCCTTCCTTCCTTCCTTCCTTC